AGCTAAACGGGCAGTCAGCGAGCCCTATTTAGCCACGCTGGATCACAGGAACACTCCAATGCAAGGTACGGACTGCAGCCCAGCAATGATGCTCATGGGGAGACGAACCAAAACCCTTCTGCTAATGAGTGAGGCTCTGTTGAGACCAACAGCAAGCAGACGGAATGAGGGTTCAAGGTTCAAGGGTTCAAGGTTCTTTATTGTCAATCTGACATAGCTACAGAGTAATTATGCAGTTGAAAATCTTATGTCACAGGCTTCTCCAACAATGCAACATAATAACATAACATAATAACAATAAGAGCATGAGCAATACAAAAATAATAATAGTTATAAAAATGAAATAAAGTTATGATGTGGAATAGTGCAGTACGAGTCTATATACAAGTTATTGGAATGATATATATATATTAGGTATTAGATACATACTACTGAGTAGCAGATGAATGTTTGATGTTGTTTCAACAGTTCAATTTTTTAACAGTCTCACTGCCCGCGGGAAGAAACTGTCTCCGAATCTTCTTGTCCTTGCCAGGATGCTGCGGTAACGTCTGCCAGACGGCAACAGAAAGAACAGTTTGTGGCTGGGGTGATGGGGGTCTTTGATAATTCGTAGTGATTTCTTCCTGAGCCGCTGGGAGTAAAGGTCCTCCATGGATGGCAGCTCCGTCCTGGTGATGTGCTGTGCAGTTTTCACCACCCTCTGTAAAGCCTTACGATCGAGGTCGGTGCAGCTGCCGTACCAGGCCGTCATGCTGCCAGTGAGGATACTCTCTATCGTGCACCTGTAGAAGTTGCAGAGTATCCTGGAATCCATTTTGAACCTCCTCAACCTGCGGAGGAAGAAGAGCCGCTGTCGAGCTTTCTTGGTGATGGTGGTGGTGTGAAGAGACCATGTCAGGTCCTCAGTGATGTGGACCCCAAGGAACCTGAAGCTTTTGACTCTCTCCACCGTAGTCCCATTGATGGCGATGGGGGCGTGTCCCTCTCCCTGCTGCTTCCTGTAGTCCACAATCAGCTCCTTTGTTTTGCTGATGTTGAGATGGAGGTTGTTCTCCTGGCACCAAGATGTCAGGTTTTCGACCTCCTCTCTGTACGCCGTCTCGTCATCGTCTGTGATCTGGCCGATGATGGTCGTGTCATCAGCAAACTTCACGATGGTGTTGGAGCTGTGTGTGGCCACGCAGTCGTGGGTGAACAGGGAGTAGAGGAGAGGGCTGAGCACGCAGCCTTGAGGGGCACCGGTGTTGAGAATCAGGGTGGAGGATGTGATATTTCCCACCCGCACTGCCTGGGGTCTGCCCGTCAGGAAGTTCAGGATCCAGTCACAGAGGGCGCTGTTGAGCCCGAGGTCTCTGAGCTTGATGGCCAGCTTGGAGGGCACAATGGTGTTGAATGCTGAACTGTAGTCAATGAACAGCATTCTCACATATGTGTTCCTGTTCTTCGGGTCCAGGTGTGAGAGGGCAGTGTGGAGGGTGAGGGCTATGGCGTCGTCTGTGGACCTGTTTGCTCTGTAGGCAAACTGCAGGGGGTCCAGAGATTCAGGGAGGGAGGAGGTGATGAATAATTTGACTAACCGCTCAAAGCACTTCATTATCATGGAGGTGAGTGCTACTGGGCGGTAGTCGTTGGGGCAGGTGATGATTGTCTTTTTGGGGACAGGAATGATGGTGGAGTGTTTAAAACATGTGGGGACTACAGACTGCAGCAGGGACCTGTTGAAGATGTCTGTGAACACCTCTGCCAGCTGAACTGCACACACCCTGAGAACACGGCCAGGGATGCCATCAGGTCCAGGAGCCTTGTGTGGGTTAACCCTTTTAAAGGATTTACACACATCTGCCCTATTTAAAACAAAAGGGCAGTGTAGCTCCTGGTCCCTCTGTACCTCCACAGCCTGGCTGCTCTCAAAGCGTGCAAAAAAACTGTTTAGCTCATCTGGGAGAGATGCGCCCGCAGACACTCCCGCAGCACCCCCCGCTGCTCCTTTGTAGTCAGTCATTGTCCTTAGTCCCGCCCACATATTCCTAGTGTTACAGCCTTTGAAGTCAGATTCCACCTTGTCTTTGTACTGTCTCTTTGCATTTTTAATTGCTCTCCGGAGATCATACCTAGACTTCCTGTACTCCTCCAAATCTCCCACTGTGTGCGCGAGAGTGCGCGCTTTCAGTTTGCCGCGCACCTCACCGTTTACCCAGGGCTTTTGATTTGGGAATGTCCGTACAGAAACCTTCGGTACCACGTCATCGATGCATTTCCCAATGTAGCAGATGACAGTGTCCGTGTGTGTGTTGATGTTATTGTCCTCAAACACACTCCAATCCGTAGATGCAAAGCAATCCTGCAGTGCCTCATCTGACTCCACGCTCCATCGTTGTACTGTCCTTGTTATCGGTCTGTCCCTTTTAAGTTTCTGCTTGTACGCAGGCAACAACAGTAGTGAGATATGGTCTGATTTGCCGAAGGGAGGGCGAGGGAGAGCCTTATATCCATTCCGGAAAGGGGAATAAACATGGTCCAGTATGTTTCCCCCGCGCGTCGGGAAGTTGATGTGTTGGTAATATTTTGGCAAAACCTTCTTCATGTTGGCGGTGTTGAAATCTCCGGCCACAACGAACGCCGCATCTGGCCGTGAAGTCTCGGTTTTATCAATAAACCCAAACAGCTGATCGAGTGCCGTGTTGTTGTCGGCGAGTGGCTGCGGCGGGATATACACTGCTGTTATCACAAACAGATGTGAATTCCCTCGGCAGATGGAAGGCCCGACATGAGATCATGAGGTGCTCTAGCTGTGCGGAACAGTCCGATGAAATAATCTTCACATCTGAGCACCAGTTGTTGTTAGTCATTACACACACACCGCCTCCCTTACTTTTCCCCGAGTTAGCAGTCCGGTCCTGACGAAAAATAGAGAATCCGTCAGGGACAATAGCGGAGTCCGGGATAGCGGGGTTGAGCCAAGTCTCAGTGAGAATTAACACGTTACAGTTCTTAATGTTCCGTTGAAAAGCAATCCGGCTTCTGAGTTCATCTAGCTTATTTTCAATGGATTGAACATTAGCCAGAAGAATACTCGGAAGAGGGGGCCGATTCTCTCGTTTCCTCAGTCTGACCAGCAACCCGGCCCGGCATCCCCGCTTTGTCTTCTTCTTGCGTCTCTCAGGTAGAACAGCAACAGGTAGCCATGGTGAATCTCCATTGTTTGTCGGAGGGTTATTATTGTCCACGAAGTTTCGCAAATTGGAAAAGTTCCTCTCTGCTATATTGTATGGCAGAGTAGGTGCGGTCGGCTAGCATGTTGCGAACCATGTTAAAAGTAAAACGGCAAAAGTAAAAGAAATATGTACAAAATACGAAAATGGGCAAAGTTGGAGAGGAGCACATAGACGATGCGGCCATCTTCACCATCTTCACCAAGTGAAATGAGACGAAGTGAACACTACAACTCGACTGCAAAAGACTTACCTGAACTGCACAGAGGGGACAGGGTGCGAATCGAACCACTCACTGGGCAAAAGTGGTGGTGGAACAAGGCAACAGTCATTCAACCTGTAGAGCAAAGGTCCTATGAAGTAATGACAGAGGAGGGTCAGGTCTTGAGAAGAAACAGGAGATATATCAGGATGACCAAGGAGCTAGATGAGGACATCACAGCAGGGGAAGGAGCTTATGCTGAGCTGAATGGTGAGCCCGAACCAACACAGGACGAGAGCAGCAGCGCAGAGGCAGAAACGAGGCCGGACGGGATGCCCCGCACTCCGCGCACGAGGTCAGGCAGGCCTGTCAGAAGGCCGGCGCATCTGAAGGACTTTGACTGACAGTTATACTTACTCAATACTAGTGAATAGGTATATAAAGAACAAGATAATATGGATACAGGAAAATACATTAAGATACTAAATGTTGTTCAAATGTGTGACTGCTAGTCATTTGTGTAATATTGTTGTTTGTGTTATTCTTGTTAAGTATTGGCAGTTTGTGGACAGTTACTTACTAAAAAAAAGGGAACATGTTGCAATAAACGTTGGCCAGGGGGACATTATTTGTTGATGCACAGCTGGCCCGCGGGGACGACAGGAGCCGAGGGACCAGGCATGAGCGTCAGTTCTGAAGTTAGCACGGCTAGGATGTTGCATTGTATCTTGTGGAACATTACAAGTAAAGTACGTGAGAGTAAGATAGAGTGTGTCGTTATTATCAGTATAGTACACAATACATATTGAAACAGTTTCCAAACTGAAGGGACACAGTAATCTGGCTCAGTCCAAAAGGAATATATTATCTCGAGTTTAGTGTAGTGTTTCCTTTGTTGTAGATGTGAAGATTTCTTGTAAATACAATGTTTTCTTACGATCACGTCTGTTTTCATAAAGTGGCAATTGGTTACATTTTTGCTTTAACTTACAAGTATTAAGTACATGTTGATCAAATGAAAAATGAATAAAATGTCATGACTTTGGAAGAATTGACACTGTAGTGTTAGGTTGGTTCCTATACTTTGCCGGCTCGAGGGCACTTCCATAAGTTAATTGTAAATTAACTGAAAAACAGGATTAAATGGGGAAACTACCCTGCACAAGTGCCCTTTTGATAAAGGATGCAAAGAAGACGAAGAGGGAGAGTAATAGAAACACTCTTTCTACTAAACTAAATCAGAAATAAATAAAATATGCCTACCTAATACCAGGTGTTTAACCCTGCCTGTATCCTTGCTCTTGGGTTTCTAGTTATGTGGGATTCTCACAGTAGTTTCTGGCTTTAGACAGTGGCATTAGCTAGGCTGCTAACGGTGGCTAACGAAGTATGAAAATCAAAGGACAGAAAATATGTTTTCAAGTTCTTCGTCACGCAGCTTGTTTGATCAAATTGAGTGTGTCCTCTGGTTGTAGCTCTGAGGAAAACTGAAAGTGATCTGTCAACAAAAATAATAATACCAATTTGATAAACTAGTGGGAACACTTTTGGACTGTGTGGTAAAGAACACAAATCACTTTATCATGTTTAATCAGCTTTAATACCAATTTACCAAAAAAATATATGTGAACATCTAGAATACGTTCATATTAAGAAGAACGGGTGATTATCATTTTTACACTTTTGGCACATGTAGATGAGGTTAGAAAAAAAGTGTTATAACTCAAATGCACAACACAAGGCACATAAGTTAACTGACTATTAATCAGACTGCAAGTTATCTCAAACAAACGGTAAAATTAGTAGCTTTAGTATATTTGTAGCTAATCAGTGCCATGCAAAAAAATACTGTTTATTTCATAATCTCTTTCACGTAAAGTATCACAAAGCAGACCTGATTTAACACACTATAAAAATGAATACCACAAAAGGAACAGACATTACGAAAAATGTTAAACAACAAGTGACACACAACTTAATGTGTTATAGTTTAAGCTTATTTTTTTTATACATAAATATATTGTGAAGCAATATGTTGTTACTATATCTGGAGTTAAAACCAAAAGGAAAATCCACCTCTAATTAAAGTCCTAATTCTATGCTGTGACATGCACAATGTACTTGAATTTAGCTGCAGTTACATGTGCTGTTTGAAGGAAAGATAATGATATGTTCTACCTGTGTTAGATTCTTTTTTAAATTGTTAAAGTTCGAATCTGGTCAGCTTTCCTCCCTGAAATTCCACTTCCCCAAAATGTCAATGTTGCTCAACATAGAAACCCAGGCACAATTTGATGACATTTTTGGTTATGCTATGGAAGCCCTGGAAAAGGCAGCTTATTGCACTTAAACTTTGAGGGACTGAGACTAAAATACAACACCTAATATTAATATTTTATACTGAAGAATTTACTCTTATACCAACTCTACTAAGCTTCTGGAAATATTTTAATGAGTCCGTCTATCCCAGAAAATAAGTTGAGGACAAACTCAAAATGGTGTTTGATGGGAATTAAGATGCTCTTTAAGTGTTTTGAGGTGGATTTTTCCTATAAAATGTACGCACGCACAAAAATATAATAATATAAAACACTTAAATGATAAAAAGGCCATTCAGTCAATGTTCTTCTCTTTGGTACGTGTTTAAAGGTGGGCACAAGCATCCACCTAAAGTGCTCTATATGGTACAGTAAGCTGGTCAGGCTTTTAAATAAACGTGGAGTCTTTTTTATTTCTGACTGTGGCGAGTCTTAAATGAGGCTACAATTGTCTGTTTTCTATCCAGCTGTCATTTTTCTCCAGTGACGCCACTCTGGAATACATCAGACCATCGTATGGACCGGATGTAGTCTGATAGGGTTCGAAGGTCCAAAAATAAAACATTTGAAGTGATAAAGCTTCAGTATGAGCTCTATTTTCTGACACACACACACTCAAACACATTGTGGCTCCACTCTCATCCCGTCCGTTCTGCTGGGTGTTTGGCTCCTCTGTTGTTGCAGAGTCTTTCGAGGGGTCGCAGCAGTTCTTCCTCTCGGGGTCTGTACGGCACGACGTAGCTCTCCTCCTCCAGCAGGATGCGGTTCAGTGTCTCCTCGTGGTTGATGTGGCGGCGCACCATCAGTATGTACTGTTTTCCCTCCTCCAGATGGGGGCAGTCACACACGTTAGGGACCCACAAGAACTCCCGGTGCTCCAGGCGGAAGCCGTTGCGGTAGGTGTGGAGGATCTGGACGTCATACCGCGTCTCCTGGCCTCGGTACAGCTTTCCGAGCACCCGGGCACGGAAAACTAACAGAGAAAATTCAATGAGATATTTAAATTCACATGTTAAAGTCATATTTAATTTAAACTACAAGGTTCCAACTCACCAAAGTCCTTCTGGCAATACTGTCTTTGGCGTTCCCTTCGACCTTTAATTCGATGACATTTCCCACAATGTCCTGCGCAAAAAAGTAAGCATAAAAAAAAAGGATCACAAACATAGGCCTGATAAAAATAAGTATATATATGAAAATAAGTACTTCAACATCAAAAAAGACATGCTTGCTTGCGTTGTATGAAAAGACGTTTAATATAAACAAAGGCATTTTATGAAATATCTGAGTATCGTTTACACATTTATGGGACCATGCTTAGCTGGGCTGTTTGGTGAGGTGAGGGTCAGGTTGGGAAAAGGTGAACATACTTCCTGGTGAAGGCTGAGGAAGGAGGTTTCTGTGGTTCTCCTCTCTCTGTAGGCGGGGCAGGATGGGCTGGTGGGGGGGCTGGCGACGGTTGTGGTGGGGAGATTGGCGAGGTGGCTTCAAATGTCTTGAAACTAGGAGACACATATCAAACAAACACAGTGTTACCATGACATGTCTTCCCAGTCAGAGATTTTTTAAATAGTAGGTTACATTTTTTATAACACTTCTGACGTAAGCCACTTTTTAATTACAAATATGTGACAATGTCTCACCACTATCCGCAATAGAGTACTAAAGGATAAAGACCTGAAACTCATAAATGAGGTTCCTTGTTTCAAAGCCAATAGGTTGGTTAGATGCCTGAAATAAGATCTGTGGTAAACAAAACCCTAATAGACTTTCACGTTTTGCACTCGACATAAGATGGCTGGATGAGAGTTAAAACATTGTTGAAGACTTTGAAACATCATTCCTTCAAGCACAGGAAAATGTATCTACTCAGTCATGTGACCAGAGTGTAGTTTGATTATAGCCCAAAGTTAGCTTTCTACTTCTGGCGATTGCTTTTAAGCCTCAAATTAATATTTGTTACCACAGAGCCATGAATTGACATTGGTACCAATAATAACTCAGACTACTTTTTGTCAAAAAGGAACTGCAGGCACAGTTTAGCTTAATATGTAGCACAACACATTAGGACATTTCTTTTTGCATAATGGTCTGATACTGATGAACAGGAAGGAAACAGCCGGTTTCTCTCAAAATGTGGTGGTAGATTTATTCAAATAAATAACATGCCAAACCATGCATTCTATCCTCATTATGTCTTTTCCAAGAAACAAAACCATGACCAGACTAAGCAACAGAAAAGTTCACCTTGCTACCCAACAAACGACCAACTCACTTCTTCTGGCAACATCAAGAGTCAAAGTGTGTTTTGGAAGAATCCATCAGCAGGTAAATGTTTGCAGAAAGGCTCAAAGATTTATTGCAGTGTTAGATAGATTCCGACAGAAGGCATGAGTTGGCTGTGTGAGGATTTCCATGTGAGTGTGAATATTTACGGAGAGAGTCAGCACATGTGTACAGCAGGTTTATCAAGAGAGATGAACCAGCCGCATTCCTCAGCTGCTCAGCCTGTAGATAAACTCTTCCCGTTTCAAGTCCCGTAAAGATGGATTGTTTAAACCATTGTCGACCACACAGGTGTTTTCACTTATTGTTTCTTGCTTTCAGGACTTTGTAGGCTTGTAAATATTGCGATTGATTGACATTTCCCTCGTTCTCCTTAGTGTCTTGCACCTGTGAGCTTCCTCAATCATTTTTATTGGCGAACAAATGAAAACACCTGTGAGGGAGTGTAGGGATTTCAACATGATCAAGATAAGTGTATTTGAAACACAATCCGGCCTGAATTTTAATGCGTCCTCCAAATTTAGTTGAGTTATCACATACCTAACCCAAGTCAACTGAAACTCCATCAAGTTTTTGAGACAGCAAACAGTTACTTTTATTTTTATTTTTCAGCCTCAAACTTGACAGTAGAAGCATGAATGACAAGATCTCTATCAGATACCGTGCTCCTTGATGATTTAAACTTTATTCTATACATTTGTTTAAGGGCAATTAAATGAAGCTAGCTGCAGGACTTACTCCAATGTGTTTGGGTGGTGACAGGGGAAGCCCGGGTGGTGGTGGTAGTTGTGGTTGTGGTGATTGGTTGATCCCAGGGGAGGTAGTTGTCAGTGTGGTGAGCTTGGCGCAGTGGACTCCTCCTCCCATGGTGGAGGGCGTATTGACCTGGTGGGAGCCAGTACTCATACTCGATCCCCGGGTTTTTGTCTGTAGCCAGCACCTGCACACAAGGACGGCACTGAAACTTATAGACTATTTTATTAGCTTAAAGAGCAGCTTACTTTGTTATACTTTTTACTACTACTACTATTTTGGCATCAAAGCAAGTCCTAGAAACAAGACCAAGACCAAATCAAATATTTTGGTCTTGATCCTGATCCGAGTCCTCTAATATTTGGGATTTGTCAGCACCAAGTACGATCCGATACTTGTATTTTAATCTCAATTATTTTGTATGTGCTCCTCATAACCTTGGTATTGTAAGAGTTATTGTTTGGATTACTAACCAACTAAACTAAACAAGCAATGAACGAAACTGCGTGATGACTAAATTGATGACACATGTTCCTTATGTTTTACAAAGCCAGAGGTAAAAGTTGCCTTAACCCTAAGGAGTAGGATTAACCCCTAACCCTAAGATTTAGTGTTACAAGGGTACTAGGCCAAATTATAGGCATTAAATCCAGGCACTTTCCAGTAAGAAGTCCTGAGTGTTGCTGAATTTATACTCACCATGTAGAAATACCACATGAAACAAAGAGTACACTGTTCTGAGGATGCTTACAGCTACCATCAATGTTCTACAGAACTCCCAACAGCAGTGTTCTTACAGGAGAAAGCAATAGGTAACAGCTGTTTGGTAACTAACCAGATCTTTTTATAAAATACCTGCACAGGGTCTGAATGAAACCATAAAATATTCATTCAAAGCTGATGTTTTTCTTCCCTTGGGAAATACTGAACGATGTGCAGAACAAGTGTAATGCACAATGCAGGAAGGTACAATGTGTTTATCTAGTGCTGTGTTGTAGCCTGACTTGGTTGACCAGAATGGCCTCAATAATAAATCCTGGTTTAACTGAAGCTTCTCGATGGCTTTACAATAAAGACATTTATTGCATTGTTTTGGAGGGGGGTCCTTTTTCAGTTTCACTACCCATTTTTTCCTGTAAAGGTTGTTTTGAGGTTGCTTTCAGAGGGTTTTGTTTGCAGGCTGTAAAGATTGTAAGGTCCTGAAGGCAAATTTCTGATATTGGTAAGATCAACGAAACATCAAGAAGAGATTTCCAACTCCTGCGACCGGATGCTGACCAAACCATCCGGCATCAATACGTTAGAGCTCTCACCATGAGATGGAGGTCTTCCTGGGTGGGTCCTGGTACCTCGAAGCTCTCCCAGGTGTCTGCAGAGCGCCGGTACACCAGTTTCGTCCCGGCTACATTGTACTCGCCCGGAATGCTGATCTTCCAGTTACCGTTGATCACAAACTGGGAGTGACCATTCTGGAGTGCTGGATAAGGGATCAAGGTACGGAAAGGAAGGAAGGAAACGTTTGATGTTATTCAGAGTTGACCAGTCAGTCAAATATTTCTAAATGCCATACATTCTTTGTCCATATAAGGGGGTCATGCTCTCTGTTTGGTGTCAGAAACAGAAATATTTCCAGCTGGCTATATAAGGCAGCTGTCTCTCCTCAGCAGTGGGAAAGGGAATTTCCATGGCATGAAATGGAAACAAGTACCTTCACCTGCCTCGCCCCAGTGGTCAGATAAAGCCTTTTATGAGCGTCCCCTTTCAGGACCACAGTGTGCGCTGTTTGAGGGCCTGTTTTATTTTGGTCTCATAAACAAGGATGAGAATAGATGTCCTTGGTTATTATGTTGCCTGGAAAACACACAGCGGGTCCAGAGACCAGATAGGACTGCTGAGCCCACTGTCTCTGGGGAGAGGAAGTTATAGCAAGTCTAGGAAATACTTTAACTGCTGGATTAACACTTCAGCCATGGAGCCAGTGACGCAGAGGGAGTCCTATGCAGAGAGCTGAGACTGATATACAGAGCATCCCAGGAGCCATGTGTGTGTGTTTGGTGTGCATGGTCTTACCTAGATAATTCCTGCTGTTATCAGTGACTCGGATGTGAGTAGCTCCAGCTGGGATCATGGTCACTTCGTTGTATCCAAAAGGTCCGCCTGGCAAACGGAGACATTCAATTAGAAGCTCTTTTTAATGAGTCTCCTCTTTTTTTTAAACTACTTAACATGATTAAAGGAAAAGTCAGTATTTACAAGCTTAAGACAGTTTTGCAACAAAGTGAAGCCCAGAAAAAAGAAGAATCAGATGGCTCTTTAAGTCATTTGAAGTTATTTTAATCTGAAAGGAGAACATCAAAAGAAAGTTTCGCATAATCTTTTAAGACTGTCTGTTGCATTATAGAGATAATTCTGAGATCAACGAGTGTCAGTGTCAGTGTGAGATCAAACAGAATGAGAAGTTAAATGAATGTCAAAGGGCCCTTCATCATATTAACAACATTCATAACAAACAGTTGAGTTATGTGCATTATGATTACAGTGTGTACCAAATCTAATGATATGTTATCCTTCACTGCAATACTCTTGGCCTTTCTTTAAATCACTGTCACTTGCCATACACTAAATAAATGCTACTTTTAATAAATAAATTCCTTGATTGCATAAGACTCCACTGTGAGGTTTGTGAGGTTTTTATATGACTGTAATGACAGTTATTACTGCAATGTAATGCAAACTTAAAAGCATGTAAATTCATCAAAACTAAAAGCATAAAACCAAGGTTGCGAAATACTGTAATTCCCATTTGCATTTAATTACAGACTGTGTGAGCAATCAACACCACTAACATCGTCTTTGCATTCATCATGGTGTCACCTGAGGTGGTTGCCATAGTGTTCATGTAAACTCACAAATCAAAATCACAACAACAAAGCAGCAGTGTTGTCCAGTTCATTTAGTTTCTTTCAAAACCTTAAACCAGTGCTGCTTGTTCAGATGCTGCTAACAACTATGCCTTCAATCCTGCTTCAATTCACCAGGATGCACTAATCATGTTTTAACAACAAGCAGATATTTAAAAGCAAGTATGTCAGCGTTTGTAGGTTTCAGATCCAGGCCTGAACAGATAGATTCATTTATATAGTTTGCTCTTTAAAACGCTCTTAGACTGAGCATGTAAAGCCATGTGTATAGTACTTTAGGTGTAAATAGGCAGGCCTGTTCATTCAATAGTAATTCATAATCTATTAATAGTTGTGGATTGATTCCAACCACAGCTGCAGGTCTTTAACATTTGACTGTAGCATTACGGTTCAGTGCTGTGAGCTGTCACTTGAAACAGAACAGATTGCTGCACGCCTTCCCTTTGGACTGAGCACTTTATATTCAGGGTTAGTCTTTGAATAGCATGCTATGCCATGCTATGCCATTTTCCAGCAATCAGTAACTGGTATGTAATCAGCAACTCACAATAATCTGGATTAGTAATCAGATAATTATATCTTTGAACATATCTTGCCAGACATTGATGTGGCTCGTACAGTATTACAAAGCTCTTGGAAAGTCTTTATCATCTGTCATTAAAAAACAATGACAATCTATGATGTCAGCAATGATTAACTGCTATCAATGGTTTACTAGATTTTACAGCACAAAGACAGATACTTTTTGAATGAGCTGAAACCACAGCCCTTCAATATAGAGTGATATTTCACTTCTGAGCCAAAAAAAAAAAAAAAAGAGACAGGGACAGCTCTATGGTTCTCCTGCTGCTGTGGAGTGTAAGGTGGCCGCGGGGTGAACCCCATTCATTAGGGCCTTTGAAGAGCACGTAACTTTGGTTGCCCCGGCTCACCCGTCTCAGAGAGGAACTATTCAAAAGGTTCATCTCTGGGGCTTTAGCTACATGAAGATGTAGCGCTGTAACTGAGGGAGTGTCAGAGTTACAAACAGGCAGCGGGAAGCTCCAGGCCGTCGGTATTTGACCTTGTGAGGAGCGATTTTGTGCAGCCGCCCTCCATCAGATCTACCTCCTTTGGGAAACACAGCTGTAGGCGGAGGGACAACATCTCAAGGCTGTCGAGTCGCCAAAACAAAGCGGCCATTATCAGCATTATTTCTTGCTCAATCTGAGCCATTACGGCCGGCTTTTAGTTCTGCCGACCCACGGAGCTGTGGGAGGAAGCCACTCACAGAGGTGCTCCTGAGCCAAGAGCCAGAGGTGCTTTCTGTCAATCAGTGGTGGGCGAAACCATAGACCTTATATTTAAGTAGAAGTAGCAATACCACAGTGTTAAACTACTGAGCTGCAAGTATTCATGTTTCATTCAAAATTAAAAACTTAAAAATGATGTTTGCATGTCACATGTTTGCATGTCCGTCTCGCAGAACCTTTTTTGCCTAATTTAACTGTACAATTCTTATTATTTTGACATTTTCTTTAAGTCTCTCTGATTAAACTTTACATTGTAAATGCAGTTAGTGCTGCAGAAGGGGAACTAACATTTTCAATGATTCATTTTTCCTCCACAACACATACTGTGGCATTTCTTCAATGCCATATTCACGACAATGCCACATCCTTATACAGAGGCATTTGAATGAGTATGTGTCTTTCTTTGCCTCTACCCTTTGACCCCTAAACAGCACATTTGGGTCGAAAGGATGGAACACATGTTTATTTTGTTGCATGTCTTTGTTTGAGTGGTTTTGGTATACACACATTTCTAAGTTGGTTTGTTGTTCTGTGTTTTTGGTAACCCTGTTTTCCAAGTTGGTTTTAGTTGTTCATCATTTACAGATTTATTGCCATAATAGTTCATCTACTTTTAATACTTTAAAACATTTGACAAAAAACTCCTCCTCCCCACATGTTGAACAGAAGAGAGCGACCGCATGTTGCCCTCTGAACTGCAGATACAGTATGAACGTGGGTATAACATGTTTTGGTGGCATCCAGCCAGAGTTCCATTTAGAGCAGGGGTGGGCAATTATCTTTTACAAGGGGCCACTTCAGAAACTCGAGCTGTGTTGGGGGGGCCGAATCAAAAATAAGTTGAACTTAATTCTGCTCAATATACCAATACTGAAAAGGTGTTTTACAGTATGTTAAAGATAAGAAATGAATCAGCTTTATACAAAAAGAAATGAGTGCTTTTGATTTTTGTTTTTCAGTTCATTTTACTTGTTCAGTGAGAAAAATCCAGTCCGTCTTGGGCTTGAACAAGTGCACGGAAATCTGGTTCAATGTCTGAGGTGGATATGCGAAGGACAGCTGAGAGGTGATCATCAGTGATAGAGGATCTGTATCTGGATTTGTTGAACTTCATCACTGAGAATGTCTGTTCACATATGTAGGTAGATCCAAAGAGGACCATCATCTTCTGAGCACGTCTCCTGATGTGTGGAAAGTTCTCCTCTTTCAGGGAAGCGTAAAACTCAGGCAGTGAGACTGACCTAAAGTGCTCTGACAGAAGTGTGTCAGACTGCAGGTCAATGAGTTCAAGCTGAACATCACTGGGTGCATCATCCACATGGCATGTAAATGGGGAAAAGATCATGTTCATTTCATTCTCAACTGTTTTGAAGTCTTTAAATCGCCTTGAAAACTCACCATGCAGTGCTTCTAACATGGATGAGTACCTCTGGAGGTGATCAGCTGATGGTGTGGCTTCCTTCAGTGTTGGCAAGTGCGTGAGAATGTTGTCCTCCATTTGGCTTGAGAGAAGCGTAGGAAGATGAGTAGCTGGGCAGTGTCACGTACATCGCAGCTCTCATCCAAAGCCAAGGAAAAAAAGTCAAAGTTGACCGCTCTGTTCTGCAGCTGAAGCTCCAGATTTCCCGCGATGTCCTCAATCCTCCTCGTAACAGTGCGTCGGGAGAGCGGCACTTTCTCAAATGCCTCCTTTTTCTCCGGGCATATTAGTGCGGCAGGGTCCAACAAACACTCCTTAACCTCTTAAGCCCTGAGCCTGTTTTTCAGGTCTCAGGCTCGAAAATGACATTCCCAGAACAAATGACCATATCTTCCCTTCTAAAAGGGTTAAATTAATCATCTTTATTCTCAAAGTAATGATAAACCTGTGAGTTGGATGTAGAAAAGTCAGAATCAATATAGATGTTTTTTATTTTAAAGAAAATTCAGATTTTACATAGTAAAAAACTGTAAATTATAGTGTCCGTCCAAAAATTCTTTTTTACTTATAGTGAAAACTACCCTTGGATGATGGGTTAGTAGACTAAAAGCTTTAGGAATCCAAAGTACAACATATAATAAGTACCCTGTATCAAGATTGATGCAAAACAAGTGAAATTTGACCTTTTTAGAGAGATTTAGCCAAAACCCCCCACTTCTGGGGTCATTTGGGTGGATTTGACCTATCTCTGGCCCCCCTTGCTCGATTTTGATGAATGAAATCTCTTTATAACCGCTAGAGCCAATGGAATCGAGGGAAAGTTATATACACACCAAAACGTTAACAAATAAGGAGTGAGAGTGACGCGTTACCAAAACCGGTGGCTACCATTAGCAGCTAACTTTTCCGCTCCGATCTTTACATAAAAAATGGAATTATGGATTATAAATAATTTTTTAAAAGCAGTGGCGGCCGGTGGTCTTTTTTTTTTGGTGGGGCTCTTGACGTACCGTAAGTGACCTACCCGGGGGGTCCGGGGGGTTTCCCCCCGGAAATTGTTTTCGAGAAATGACCCCTTAAATGATGACTTCTGGTGATGTTAGAGGGGGGGGGAAAGGAGAAATCGAGGCTTAAAAATATGAGAAGACTGATCAATACCTCCATAATCTTCAGTGTGGAAAATATTATTTATCAACCTCAACATCTACTACTTTACCAGGAATTTGTGTTCTCAGAACTGGTCTGTTTTTTTCTTTCTTAAAACTGTTCATGTTTTATGAACCAACACCTTCACCAAGTAGCTTTACAGTGAACTGCATGTGAGATATAAAATTAATAGCATCTTTTCAGTAGCATTAATTATAAATATTTAAGTGGTTCAATACAAGTCACTACAGCATTTCAAACTGAACTGTGAATAAATGCAATTTAAAAAAAATAACCACAGCACAAAATGTCATAAATTGTGTTTTTTTCTTTGTTTCTCTGAGGATTATTTACAAACAGGCTTATTTACATATAGCAATAACTCAGAAATGAAAAGCTACATCGTCTAACACGAACAACCAGTTAGCATAATGATAATATATGTGTTATGTACAATGTAACTGGCAAGGCTAGAGCAAGAAAGAACATAAAGTTTGCAAAAGGTTTAAATAACTTCAAGTATCTGTCTTCAGATTACGTGGAGGTTTTAGTCCGATGGGAAGCAGATTTTAAGCGACACCGAAGATAAACCAAAAATGTGGTGGAGCTGCAAACCGTGTAGTGTTGCTGGGACAGAACAGGAGCTATAACCGTTGGAAAATACATCACAGACAATGCAACAAACGTGGAGACAGAACAATCACTTCTGTGATAAATGCCCACTTATTAATAAACTTCTAACAACCATGGGAAACCTCCTCTCTACATATAAAGTGATATCCAAGCATGGGAAACAAAAGACAGCATTTACCTGTTTGCATCCAGCTAGCCAAGCCTTTCTTGTGTACCAGCTACTTGTGAAGCCTCGTGTATAAATGTTGTCTTTTTCACGAGATTGCTGCGATATATTCAAATCGGGTTGGTCCGGTGCAAGGTCTTTAAGCAACAATTTATCTGCCAAACTTCTCCTTTCGAAAGGATTGGAGATTAGCTCTTGAACAGAATTAGCCGGGGACCGAGGTCCGGAGACTCCACCTGCACACGAAGCCATCCTCATCAACTACTGCGTCAACCGGATACGAGTCACTGTCCAAACTACTCACAGACTGCACTGGGCGCTGACATTGGCGCCTGGTGACCGTCATCTTTGACGACGCTGATTGGCTGAAATTATATTTTCGCGGCATAGTTTACACGTTACAGATAGCAACAGTCAGCTGCTAGTGGCTGATGCTGCACTGGTTGAAGGCTCCTCTCTTAGCGCCCAGACGAGAGAAGGTGCATGGGCAAGGCCAGGCAGGAAACATGTGACTTATCAGTAACTTTAGACATCGTAACACAATTTTAAACGAGATTTTATTGTAGATTATACATTTTACTGATACCAATTATATAATATTTACCTTGTTCATTAAAAATAAAAATAAAAACATATATTTTTTTTTAAACATATTTTTTTTTTTAATTTTAATTTTAATTATTATTATTTTTATTTTTTTTCAATATGGGAAGAGGTGGGGCGGCGCCCCTAGCGCCCCTATGGACCGGCCGCCACTGTTTAAAAGGTACAGGTACATTATCAACCTATGGATCAACAGTTGTAGATTTTTTTTCTTTCGTTTTAATGCCATTGAACACGTCTTTTGACCTAATTGACAGCTACGGTGAGACGATCTGCCGTAAAAGCTCCGTAAAGGTACGTGTTGTGATGTCTGTGTTTGCACCACAAACTAAACACACAGCTTTACCTTTCACTTCTGTAAATAAATACTTAGCGGTCCATGTCTTGTTGAAAACGCGGCATTCAGTATCGATCTTTCTTTTTTTGCCCTTAGCGGACATTTCGAGGACTAGCCGGCCAGCATCACTCGTAGCTGTTCACGGCATGCGCGTTTACGTAAATAAATAAAAAAAACAGCAGCGCCCTTTTCAAAATAAAAGCAACACAGTTAGAAAAGTATTCACGCCATGCAAGCAATACAGCTGTGTTGCTTTTATTTTGAAAAGGTTGCTGTTTTTTTTTAATTATGTTATAATTTATGCTCAACCTCACACGGGCCGGCCAAGGCCGGCCAACGGGCCGGATGTGGCCCGCGGGCCGTAAAATGCCCACCCTTGATTTAGAGCCTCAAATCTTAACCACCGTAATTTTGGAGCTGAATTTCCTCCTGGAAGGCAAAACTATTTACCATACTTAATCTTCATGTCATCAGAGAACAATAACCTCTTGATTAAACCTGAATGACAAAGAGGGCTTGGATTTATCCCCAGATCGTGTTGGTTTGAAACTGCTGCAATTGATTCCTCATGGAGATTATACGGCAATTGTGTGTGTGTGTGTGTGTGTGTGTTTCCTACCTGCCTCCAGACCGTTGCTCTGGTACACGCTCTTGTGGTGCATGCAGGTGGTGTTTTGTCCTCCACACACCATGCAAGCGTCCTCCTGCTGCTTTGAGCCCAAGATGGAGTCACAGCCGGGCGTCTGTATGACACACACACACACACAAACACACACACACACACACACACACACACACACACACACACACACACACACACACACACACACACACACACACACACACACACACACACACACACACACACACACTACATGTCACTTGTTAGACGACTTACATACTCAATACTGTGGGCAATCCCCACAGGAGCAATTTGGGGTGAAGTGTCTTGCCCAGGGACACAACGACTGCTGACTGCAGTGGGGTTCGAACTTGCTATCCTCTGATTGGAAGATCAGCGCACTAAGCCACTGAGCCATAGCCTCCCTGTGGGGGGGCGCACACACACGCACACATGACAGGAGTCAACAGTTCAATCTGGTTAAATGTGTTTTTTCTCTCACAGCGTGTTGTGCCTTTGCACTCACATATACACATTTCAGACGAAAGCCTTTGCTCAAACTTTCTTTTTGTCTTGTGTCTGATGTAAAGTTCACCTTAACCTTTAAGGCAAAGGTTCATCTCAACCCACTCTCTTCCTCCTTCTCTTATTTGCTGTTCCCTGTCATTTTCTCCTCCTCACAAACATTTACTTTGGCATTTACAACAGAAGGACGGGTCACAGAGTTGTCTCTGTAAATCTTAAAATGCCAAAGCAAAGAGCACGGAGGATGAGCTGGATGGTTGCGGTTGTGAGGAGAATCTTATTACTAGACAGATTACAGTGTCCGGCCTTCATCTCACAGTGTGCAGGGCGGACCAATCAAGGGGGAGGTCCCGGGCAAGAGTGCAACAATCTAGGGAACCTATAATCAGCCCCCTAAGCCTTTTTAAAAATACAAAAACACTCCAAGCATCTGTGTGTGCACAACAGGAAATGAATTGTCGGTGACAAAGTAGTAGAGTGCACGAGGGCCCCACTGAGGGAGTCACTAAGGTCCACCAGAATCATTCAAGTAACTTTGAGAGTGGAGGAATAAACTTGCTGCTGCTCATTCTTTCTGCAACATTCAGACAGGTTTGAGTTGGTTTTGTGCTCTACTGTTCCCGTTGGTACAGTATGTGATTAGACCAGTATTTAAACAATGGGTCCATTCATTTATTGGTGAGTCAACATATTAACAACAATTCTAAATAATGTATTAATTGTTTTGGTCATGACATTTGTTTAGGGTTTTAAATAACTTGAGAACTATTGAGTGGATAGGGAAAGTGAAATGTGCTGCAGATCCAACGTCCCTTTACGATACATCTTAACAACCCAACTACATTTTCATCTAGCGCCTTTAACAGCTTACAATTTGTATCCGTCTTTGGTTGATAAGCACATTTCTGAGAAGTCTTTATATTCCCATCACTTTTACCTAGTGTTACTCTAAATGCTAATTAGAAAATGTGGAATGTTGGAAAATGTTGACTTTTTAGTAACATTGAGCCACTTATTGAGCTATAGACTCTTGCTTGAGTCTACTTTTTATCATTGTAAACTGAGCAAAAAATGAATATCTAGGTTTGGACTGTGGACTGAGTCTTCTGGTATTTGATGATGTCAACCATTTTTATAATTATTGATTGAACAAACTCTTAGATCAACATTTTGCCAGTAAAACTACTTAACCAAATTAAATGAAAAAGAGCTACACACAGATACCACATGCGCACACATAGACGTGTTCTGCAGTCTGATCTCATTGGTGACCGTCAGCTCTCCACCCCAGCTGCAGGCAGCATCTGCTTCCTGTTTCAGTCCTGTGCTGCTCTGACCTCGGCTAGAGGAGCCAATGACCCATAAATCCACTTATATACACCACTCGTTAGCATGCAAAACATACATAGACATATGTAAACATACATATGCATTAATCCTCTGTCAGTGCAGTAAAAATAACTTGAGTTATTAGTTCACCCCCATGTAGCAGATGTGTCTACTGAGTACTAGGATGCATCTCATTACTCTGCATGTGCTGCAGGACCCGAGGGATGCTAGTTCATTTCCATCTGTGTGAGGAGGGTGAGAGGGGTGAGCAGGGGACAGGCTGGGAGCATGACGTTTGGACTGAGTGCAGAGCACAGCTGTAATGCTGGCTGAAGGCTGCAGTCCACACTGATGAGTGCACTCTGGTCCTAACGCACAGCATGGAGTGGAGTTCTCCAGAGACTCAACATCACTTACACCACAACAGGGTGGAAACGGAGAGTGAGAAACCTCCACTCAATCCATCCTCGTTTTGAAATTAACATCAGAGAAAAAGAAGTTGGAGGAGTGACTTGTGCAGGTGTGTGTTTGTATTGTAATTCTATATTCAAACATATACTTCTTTTTGACGTCCATATCAACCCCATACTCATCACTTGTGTTGGATACATCTGCTACAGTGCTCCATAACATGGCAGTAATGCCCCTACAGTAGTACAACAAGGACAACAGCATGTGTTTGCCCCATATGGCAAACGTGAAAATTGATCAATATCAGAGGAGTTGTGTGAGGCGTTCAAGGCTCTGGAGGAATATGTTCCATTTATTTTTTCATTAGATGTGTTGGATGATTTATCGACTCACATTAAAGTGGCATTTAAAGAAACTCGGCCTCAAAATACAAAGATGTCTTCAAATTAAATTCAGCATCGTCACTCACATTCACATTCTACATTCAACATTTTCCCTCCTGGTAATTATAAAAAAATAGACCAAAGAGATCATCATTAGTTAATGATATTGACTGAAATTAAACATTTGACAGAGATTTTATCGCCCAGAGCATTTAGCTAATTTAAGAAATCAGCCATCACAGAGCTTGGTATTTGGTAGGTAGAGTGTGCTGGTATCAGTGAACAGAAGCCAAAGTTGACACATTGTAGATCCTCACAAAACATTCAGCAGGTTAAATCCCTTCCGCTTGTTCAATATTAGACTATTTTGGCAACTATGGTGTTTTGTTTTGCCCCAACATACCATAAGAATTTCCCCTAGAAACGGGGTTGAACTCCAACACAAGTTTGGTATTGTTGACACTCACCAGGCAGCGCCCGTTGACACACACAGCTCCAGGCTCCTTGGCGCAGGCCGTGCCATCGAGCACACGGCCAAAGTTGTAGTAGAAGTTGTGACCCAGGGCCAGGCAGCTCAGTTCACAGGGGTTAGAGCCTGGCAGGGAAGAGCTTCAGTCAGTGATTCATTAGTTTATTATGGGAAAACAGGCGAGGCAGGAGGAAAGGGAGGGAGGAGGCTGAGAAACAGAAACAGGCAAAGATGAAGATAAGAATCTGGGAGAGAGCAGAGTGAAAGAGAGGAGGCAAAAAACTAACAGATGTCATGGAGTATGTCATGGAAAACTCATGTGGATTAATTACACAGCATGCCTCACAGTGGACACGAGAGCTTTCCATCATGGAAACTTAACTATCTGACTTCCAAACATAGTCAAATTATAATTCACTCCAATCTGCTAAACCACAAGAATGAGTGTCCATCCGTCCTTAGTGTGGACGCACAAACTTCCTCAAGGCCAGAGGAGTTCGGGCCACAGAGGCCTTTTACACAGTTGTATTTTTTGGTATTTATCCACTGCCAGAAGGAAGAATTACACACTTTGTATTGTGGGACCATCACAGTGAACACATTGTATCTCCTAACAACAAGTCCTCAGTAACTGAACAGAAAGTTGACTTCACTGACCTCCGTGAAAGGTGGTCCATCTGAAGGAGGTTCCAGCCACTAACGGTCGGTCATTGAAGGCAGCACACTGCATCTCTCTGAAGTCCTCCGAGCTGGGGGGGCACTCCTGCACACATACACACACACACACACACACACACACACACACACACACACACACACACACACACACACACACACACACACACACACACACACACACACACACACACACACACACACACACACACACACACACACACCACACACACACACACACACACACACACACTTTTTTACTCCCTCCTATATGGTAGTGCACTCTTCATGACAGTTTTTTTGTATGTGTTTCTGCTTAGATGCCTGAAATAAGATCTTTGCAAGCTTAACATGGCAAGTTTAACAATAGCTTTTTGCCTCCGCCGATTGCATTTACACTTCAAATGTTTTAAAGTGTTGATATGATGACATTATCCTGCTGAACAAAACGTGTCACTATCATAAACGACATTATTTTCTGTCATATCAAGAAATCCAATGGCCAATCATTTGGCTTTTTTGTCGAGGGAGCCCTAGCGTGCTCACTTTGTGGTTATACCCACAACCTATATGGGTATAGAGTGGTGCAGTGAAGACATATGTCTTCACTGCACCACTCTATACCCAGCTTTAACAATACATGAGCATAGTGGTGAGTAGGGAAAAAAAGGAGAAGGAGAGAGGTTGAGGATTTGTGTCCATTCATTGAAAGCTCTGAGCTAATCACACTGCACCAACTGCCAAATGCACACACATTCAAACATGCTTAAACACGCTGCAACCCATGTGTGTGTTTTTCCTTTAATCAATAAGGGCAACAGTGACATGCTGTCCAAACACACACATACACACACACACACAAGCTGACAACACATTTCTAACACAATAGCAGGTCTGATAGCTGACTGCAGCAGGTCTGTGTTTAATCCCTGAGTTCAGTGCAGTGAAGACACAAGTTAATATGTCGTTGAAATTCCAGTTCACACCCTGAAACACCAACCCCGACCACGCCTATATGACCAACTTCTATAGCAAACATCATCCATTGTTCTAAGAAGTTTGCATTGAAAAGACATTTTTCATACAGTGTGAAAAGCGTTATTCTGAAATGACCTTAGTGTTGCAGATCTTGTATTGCCTGGGCTCTCCTGAACATGGTCCACCCACTGGGTTCCTGGGGCACAGAAGACATAAAAGTAATGTAATGTGTTATCAACATATGTGAATGATGTTCCAAAATATTTGTTAAACACACTACACACAACTGTATGAACTACCTCAAACAATGATTTCAGATATATTATTTTATTATGTATTTAATGTTTCTCTAAATATCCTGCATTCAAACAAAGTTAGAACATTAAATGTACTTAAAATTACCAAAAACTAGAAGTAAATTAGTTGATGCTATTTTGTGCAGAGTGACTAGTAACTAAAGCTAAATAAAATGGCCTACCAAATACTACATAAATGTAGTGGAGTAAAAAGTACAATATTTGCCTCTAAATTGTGAGTAGAAATAAAGTACAAGTTCCTCAAAATGGTTGTTAAGTTTTGATGAATGATGAATCCTTCGTTACACTCCTTCACTGGAAACAGACAACACTTAAGCTTCAGTTGCAACTTTAATTGTGATTTCTGAGGATCATTGGTGACATATTTGAAATGTATTACATTTGTAAAGATTGATGCTGTAGTCTGAGTGACCCTGTGGGACCCTGCTGATATTTACCTTGTGATGCAGGTGCGAGTCCTGACTGAGGCTCCGCCCCCGCAGCTACGGGAACAGACAGACCAGCTGCTCCACGGCGCCCACTCGTTCCTGAAGTGCAGCTGCCGCCGGGCGCGGGCCGGACGCCCTGATGACGCCTCGCTGGAGGGATGCCACGCAGAAACCCATGACTGAGACATGAACGACAGAGAGAGACAGTTTAATACTGACATTAAACACTTTAAACAAAGCGAAACAGAGACACAGCCAAAGTAAGCTGGTAAGTAATGGAAATCAACTAAGTACATTTACTTACTGCTATAGTAAAATAATTGAGACTTTTACTATTTGTTCAACTACCAACTCGCAATGCATACAAAGTTTGGTGGTTAAAATAGGCTCCACATTGACCGGCTACAACATTAGCTATTATGACAATAATTTGATATTAGAGTATATGCCTTAATAGCATATTAGTGATGGGGTCAATCTACTACATAAAGAGTGGTAATGGGTTTCATTCAGATGTTCATCTCAGTTTCCTATGTTACTTGGGTTACTTTCTAATTAAAACAAAGCCCCCACAATATGAGTATCTACACCAGCTGTTGGAGAACTATCTTTGCAAAGCTGCACAACATTTATTTCACAATCCAATCAGGGCAGACTAGGCTGTTTCTAAGTGGGGCTTAAAGAAACAGGCGCTCAAACGGAGCATTTCAGACGGACAGTGAATACAGGTATTTCTAGACAGACAGTATGAGAGAAAATAATTTGTTTTCAGAACATTAAAGTATGAAAACATGTTCTAGTAGAAACCTAAAATGCAAATACAAACCCTTCAAATTGGCATGATATTTCCCCTTTAAGTACATAACAGAGTATTTTTTGTGAAAAGAGGAACCCGTTAAAAACAAAACAATGTCTTGATAACCCTACATTCTTTGCAATTGAAGTCTATTACAATGTTCTCACAGAGATCAGACTGTTCAGTTTCTATTCTGATCTGCTTTTTTCTCCATGTATTGTGGTTTCTTGGACCCAATATAACTGCTGCTGTGAAGCCATGCAGTCAGGGACAACATGACTCTGCTCCCCACTGTGATGTTTAAATGTTCAAAGCTGTCAGGAGGCAACTGGCTACTGTCAGCAGCTCTCGATCCCTGCATGTGTGTGGGTTAGAGAGGAAGACAGAGAGGCTACCGTCTTGGCAGAATGATGGGATATCATTTGTGGAGGGGAAAACTTGTGTTGGGGGGAGTTAAGTGTGACGCCAAACAAGAGCTTCTATTAATAACAGAAAATCCACCTGGCAGATTCATTTAAAGAGTATAGTGTACAGAAATGACCTTGTGAGCCTGGTGGATCAGGACCATCACAGCCAAACAATAACAAGTTATTAGAGATATCTCAATGGTGCTCCTCAAACACATTCCAGAGTTTATGCCCTGGAGGAGGACTGGCAGCACTCCCACAAGTTCCTCATACAGGAGCTGGATCACACACACACACACACACACACACACACACACACACACACACACACACACACACACACACACACACACACACCACACACACACACACACACACACACACACACACACACACACACACACACACACACACACACACACACACACACACACACATACACACACACAAACACACACACACACTCAACAAGGTACATTTATTTCAGGAAGCGCTAAACTCAAAGTCACCTGGAGTGACTTGGAGTGAAAGATCTGAATTGACGCTATATGACCACATGTGAATAAAGAATACTTCAAAGTCATGCCATCGCTTTCTGCCACTTCCCTCATTGATATTCAAATGTATCCAGCACGATTCTGCACTGTATAATCAGATCTGTAACTGAGAAGCAGGATTGTGTAAGTAGGATGTTTCTGTCATGTTTTGCACTTGATTTACAAGACTAATGAATATTTTTCCATTATATACACCAACAGTCTATCTAGCATCCTGGTGAACTATCAGGGTTATAAGAAATAATAACAGCATAATAAATCAAATGTTTAAGTATGAGTTCAGTTCAAATAATGCTTTATTTGACAATGGCATGAACTAAGAGACATAAAAAGATTCATTTAGTGGGAATACTGATACAGCATTCAAACTACTTGTTCTTCTACGGACAAATTCTTTATTTCTTTACTTGTTGTGCTACGCACGAAATTCTTTATTATTATTCCGCAGGGTTATTTTGCTGCTCTTCTTCTCCCACATTCCACATCGCAGAAACTCCGTTCGAACATCAAAACGTTCAGCTCGGTCGGGAATCGATTGCTATTACTTTTCTCATTCATAACTTTCATAATTCCCGAGATACATCCCATAATTCATCACATTTTTAACATTGAAGTCAATGGAGAAACTCTTCAGACTTGAAAGATCTTCATGCAACTTCAACTGCTAACTGCTCCTTCATACTTTCACTCAGAAACCTCATTCCAACTTTAAAATGTTACACATCTTTCTGACATTATTCATGTTAAACAACTTTTAAATCAGATTCATACTTCTAGAAATATTAAACATTGTTCAGACCTTGGTAAAGAGGCCTTCTTCAGATTTTAACATTAGTGTGTATTGCGCAGCTCGTTAAGGCTAGAGTGCGTGATCTCAAAGCTAGAGTGGAGGACAGCTTGAAATTCGCCTTCATATTTTTTTTTAAACCTGCCATAATTCCCAAACCCTACATTCCTGAGACATAATTCTTCATGACAAATGTAGGAAAACATCTCGTAGCTTGAAAAATAAAAAAACTTAAGCAGAAATAATTAAACAAAATGCTTCTTGGGCATGAAGTGACAAAAACTTTCAACATATCTCCATTAAACCCCATTGTAAGTTCAGCCTCATCTTTCCCCACCACAGCAGCTGCACACCTTTAGTTAATCTGCCAAAAAGGCCACATTATGAACCCGAAAGTACACAAAAAGTACACTTCAGATGCTCAAGTTCTTGAGATGCTTCACTCGTTGAAATTTCACCGATATCTGTTACGGTTCTTCAACAAAACGTTCACATGTAAGAGGTTTATCTCTCATTCAGAACAATGCAAACGCTCTCCTCTCACTGATTACTGCACATCACCATGGAAACCTTTGATCTCTGGGCTCAAGCACAGGTGTTTCATAACGTCCTTAGCTCAAACATAAACACCTGTGTGATGGAACACGATGATGACACTGACAAGCTCAGAACGCCACCAAACATCACATGATGGTTAACACTGTGGCCCTGAACAGCTCTACATCAAATCTGATGTTACGTAATGTAGTGTTACTATGGCAACGCATCCCTCGCCATAAAACACGATGTCGCTGTAACTCCAATGGACACGGTCCAATCGTCCCCCAATCTTCACTTGTATATCACCGGTCCATGGCTCAACAGCTCTACGCCAAATCTGGGATCTCACCATATGCCGTTTCCATGGAAACGCATCCCTCGCCATAAAACACGATGTTGTCGTGATACCTATGCAAATGGTCAAAGCAGCACCAAACTTCAGATAGTGGTTAATGGTCCGGCCCTTAACAGCTCTATGTCAATTATGGGGTGTCATCATATGCCGTTTCCATGGAAACGCATCCCTTGCCATAAAACACGATGTCGCTGTAACTCCAAAGGACACGGTCCGATCGTCCCCCAAACTTCGCTTGTATATCACCGGTCCATGCCTCAACAGCTCTACGCCAAATCTGAGATCTCACCATAGGCTGTTTCCATGGAAACGCATCCCTTGCCAAAAAACACGATGTTGTCGTTACTCATGAAAATGGTCAAAACACCACCAGACTTCAGATGACAGTTAATGGTCCAGCCTTCAACATGTCTATGTGCCATTAGTGAGTTTTCCTCAAAAGCTGTTGCCATGGCAACACATCCCTCGCCGTAAAACACGATATTGCTATAACTCCTATGAAAATGGTCAAAAAGTGCTCAAACTTCACATGTGTGCTAACAGTCCAGCCGTGAAGACATCTATTTGACAGTTTTAAGATTTCTTCAAATGCCGTTGCCTTGGCAACACAATGCTCGCTATGAAACACGGTTTTCTCATAACTTCAGTGAAAATGCTCGAAATGGCCCAAAACTTCACAGGTTTGGTAACGATGCAGCCATCAACACATCTAAGCGCATTATGGTGTGTCATCAAATGCCGTTGCCATTGCGAGAGATCATTCGTTAGTTCAAAAGTTTGCAGTTCAAATATTCTGCTGCTTTTCCAAGCCTTTTTACTTTCTTTAAAGGGGACCTATCATGCAAAATGCACTTTTGTACGTCTTTTATACATGAATATGTGTCCCCGGTGTTCCAGGGAACTCACCAAGTGTCAGAAAACACAACCCTCTCTCTTTTCCTCCATACCCAAATCTCTAAAAACGGGGCTGCAACGGATCTGATAAAAACTGATCCAGATTTGAACAGTTCTCTGACGTCAGGACGGCGGAGCTGACCTATCAGGGGAATGAGAGGTTGGCGTGGCATGGTAACAGCATGGTAACACGACGCTCGTAACTCGGCCCCCTCCTTTGCAGGGGGCGTGGTCAGCTGCAGCGCATGCAAAGACAGGGTGGAGGAAAGCAAAATAGAGCAAAATGAGGCATGACTAAAATGCATGATCTGTTTGGTATTTTGAAAAAGAAAACATATAAATATACCTTATATAAGTATGGCCCTACAATATATTATTCAAATATAGCATGATAGGTCCACTTTAATTCTCTTATCACAAATTCAAGCCCTCAGTGTTCATGTATCATTTCAATCTAAATTCTTCACTTTCTTCTTACACATTACATTTCAGCATAGCAGTTCAGCGTCAGCTTTTCAGCATAAATCATTCCCACTAGCAATTTCTTCAGGAATTGCATTCTCGAGTTTCAATTAGTATTCAAAGATTGTTTGCACTTTAAAGGACTCTGGTCTAAAAATGAACCGCGCTAATATAACTTATACACTGAAACCTCAAAACTATGAAACTACACTAGTATGGATCTTTTCTACTGACTGCGCAACAACATGTATGTTTTGGAAAAAAACCTGAGACTCACTGAGGCTCGTTGACTTTGTGAGTCACAGAAGAGAATTTGTTTGACATACACACACACACACACACACACACACACACACACACACACACACACACACACACACACACACACACACACACACACACACACACACACACACACACACACACACACACACACACACACACACACACACACACACATCACACACACACACACACACACACACACACACACACACACACAGCTGAGAGCAACCTGTGCTACTGCTCTCCATCATTTTCCATGGCAGGGTCACCTGAGGTTGCCCTCATTAGTGTTACCACCGGTCAAATTAGCGTTGATAACAGTTGGAGATGGGGTGGGTCGAAATTCTAGATTAATGACAGTGACCTTTGAACTTCACAATGCACCCCCCCTCTTTCACATGAGCAGAGAAAAAAACCTGCTCTTGTATTTGAAAAGCAAACTGCATACAGTAAGAGAAAGGACTTAAGGAGAAAGGTAAAGAGCCAACAGTTTAACATGCAAGTCAACAGATTTATTTAAAGTAATGTAGCTTGACTTGAAGAAAGAAAAGTAATTCATGAAATTATGTTTAAAGTCAGAATATGTTTTAAAGAAAAGTGATAATTACGTGGGGATGCTCCGTTACTTTTTTAGGTGTTTTTTAAGTGTCAAATTTGACTTACAAAAAAGCCCAACAAAAGGCAGTTGCTGTTGTGTGTGTGTGTGTGTGTGTGTGTGTGTGTGTGTGTGTGTGTGTGTGTGTGTGTGTGTGTGTGTGTGTGTGTGTGTGTGTGTGTGTTGCGGAGCCCTGCAGTTGTTTGAAGTTACATTTTGTAATTAATTTTAACATAAACAACACATCTGCTACGTAAGTAATAGTTTTTGTTGGAATTCCCAATGTCATCCACAAGTTGAGTGCGACTGTAGAGGAGCATAGGGCTACCCAGTGCGTTAGAAAGTGACGGAAAAGACAAAGCGTCTCTATGTGAGGAGTTGGGAAACAAAACAGGTTGGTGCAGCTTTCATATGGAGAATAAATAAGGAGAAAGAAAGAGATTAAAACGGAATGTTAGACAGCAGCCACGAGAAATATCTGAGCGTGGTGTGAACTGCTCTGACTGCTGTAGCACTTTTTGCATCTTGAACTGATTTAACAAATATGGACAACAGAAACCATCTCAGTTATCCAAAACATCTAAAACGAATTTGTTGTCTTCGTTATTTATGTTTAAATAACACTAGTGAATCATTGACTGACAGTTTCTTTCTGACAACATAAATAAAAAAGTGTTAAGCATGCTGAGCCTCTATTGCATTCCTGTGTTTGGTGTTACAGAGCGGGTTAGGGGTATCCTATCTCTGTCTATGACTGGTTATTCCAGCCAGACCCAGGGGGAGGGTTGGGGCGAGACTGCCTGACAACAAGACAAACAGTGATGAAAGATGGAAGCTGTCGTTGGAGGAGAAAAGGTGTGTGATCAGAGTATGGAAAGACCAAGAGGAACATTGTGATTTCCGAGTCAAAATATCATCAGATGACAAACATGCTACAAAAACAATCCAATCAGGACGCTCCTATAGCTCAGCGACAAGCCGCCCTACTCACATCTGACGCCTGTCAAAGGGCTGTGATTGGTTTATTATCTGAATGAGCTGAACTTCCTCTGGGGAACCAGAGAGCATGATTTTTTAGCGATAAACAAATGAGCTTAATCACTATATTTAACCCTGTGAAATGTAAGAAAAAAAGAGGACAAAGAGGCAGGAAAAGTGGGGAGGCGCTGGGAAATGGCCTTGAGCCCGAAACGACACAGGTCCCATGTGCTAATTCAGACTAGTGCACTTGAAACACTGTCATCAAGCTATTAGATCATTATCTATTTACCCTTACTTTTTCATTTGTTTTTAGTACAGAACAGAAACATCATTGTCAGCCATAAAGGCTTCTCCAGCTATAAGCAATGTGTATTTAGACAACATAAAGCCATCATGGCCGTGACTGAATTGATTTGTAAAAACACAAGTTGACGAACATTAAGCAGAAATATTTGTCACAAGTTGTAAAGGACATCGGCCACAGAATATTTAATAATGTACTAAGTTTGATCATTTGGACAAAAACAAGCTAATGTAGATATTTTCGAAAAAGAATTCCGACATGTGAGCCATTCCAAATATGTAATCTGTCTGGCTGAACCATTGATCCATCGCAAAAATATTAGGCCTGTTATTAATGAATCGTATAGATAAACATATAAATAATCGGTGTTTCTAATGGAAACATGTGCTTAACGGTGCTTAATTGAGATTGGCTGATTAAAAAGCTTTCACTTTGTAGAGTTCCGTCAATAGAAGGGAGCTGTAGTTGATGATCAACCCAGGGTTGATACAGTGAGAGCTGTTGAAAAGAGAGCAGGGCCACGCAGTGAATCGTGTTGACGACGGCGGGTCGTACTTACGCTCTGAGGGGACGACAGGCAGAGGGGAGCGACCAGCAGCAGGACGAAGGTCAGGGCCTGGCACAGAGTCAGCTTCCTGCAGACAGAGAGAGAAACACAATGTCAGTCAGTGGGGGGCATCACCCTCGCTGTTTTACAGATCATATATACAAGATGCACAAACACAGAAGCAAAGGTGGGAAGTAGTGGAGTACAAATCCATGTAATGATGTATCAATCATTTCCTGGTCTTCTCTAAAGAAGAGGGACCAATGAGAACTTTGTCATTTTGCCGCATCGAAACATTCATTAGCTAACAATGACATTATTGTTCTATTGATATAATAGATATAAAGTGAGGTCAGTTACTCTTTAAAACAGTTGGTAGTTATGGGTACTTTTTACTTAAAGGTCACCTATTATGCAAAATCCACTTTTTCATGTCTTTTATACATAAACATGTGTCCCCTCTGTGTAAAGAGATTCTGAAAGTTTCAGGAAAAGATATTCGCTCACTTTTTGTCCTGATCCATTTATATATAACCCCCCCGCCCCACCTTATCTCCTCCTAGAGCACCACTGCGTTCTTTTTAACCAAATATCACAACAACAACAACCGGGGACTGCGTCGGGTCGATGATCGTGTTGCTTTTAATCATACGAAGCCAGATTAAATAAAATAACGACTTCTCCAACCTTATACTTTTCTCCAGAGTGCCGTGGTTCATTGTTTATTAATGTGTTTCAGCGGCATTTACCGACCGCTGCAGTGCTGGCTGCTCTTCCACGAGTGTATTCTCCCGTTAGCTCCGGGTTAGCTCACACGGCTCTAAAGTATTCACTGTCTGACTGTCACACAAGCAGCTGATACCCCCAGTTCCCCTTAAGTGAATGTGTGTCAGTCTGAATTGACGCTGTTTGGCATCACAACGCTGTTATGAAAGTTTCTCTGGTATAACATGGGTGATGTTAGCATAGCAACCGAAGCTAAACTGACTACTTGCTAAGCCGTTTTCTACAGGCACTTTTTACTGGCGTATTTTTCATTATGATTCTACTTGTGATAGTCGGACATGGCAACCTGTGCAGCCCATGTATTGATTCCATCCGATAGCTGCTATAATAACAAACAAAACGTCTGCCTGCTCTCCACAATGATCAATAACAGCGAACGGATGGTCAAAGTAAGGTACAAATAAACAGAATCACACGAAGCCTGGTTAGTGTTGCCTGACTTTATAAAGTGTGTTTTTTTTATAAGTGTGTGGTTGCCTTCTAGTCACTTTGCTCAGCGCTACTGCTTGTAGGCAGGCATGACGAGACTCTTCAGTCGACCCATGTTCGGGTTTAGTTTCCTGCACGCCTCGACGTAGAGAGACGTAAGCGACGCCGCCTCTTAGCTCCGGAGTCTTGCTTCTAGACCAGGTGTGGGGAACCTCCGGCCCCCTGCCGTATACGGCCCGCGAGACCATTTGGTACGGCCCTCGAGGTAATTTATAAACACACGCAAAAAAGAAAATAATTAAAGAAATCTAGACCGCAAAAAAATTAAACAAGCGAATGCCTGTTTTTCCTGGCCAAGGACAGGGTCCTTGAACACAACACGATCCTAACGTGTCATCACGTGGTATCTGTCTCGTCTGACTGGGGCTGCGTCTCAGGTCGATTAAATGGAATCCTTGCGTCCCTCACTTGCGTCGTTTCCCTGTGTTTAGTCCCTCCCACCAGGGAAGCATGGAGAGACGCAAGGAAACCACGAGAAGCAGGGAAATGAGTTTTAAGAGCAATGGGACGTCCTTTCCTCCGGAGCGTCACGTGAAGACGTCCGTTTGTGATGACGCCGCACAGCTGATCGTCTGACAGCAGCTCTGTCCCCGTTATTTTCACAAACACCCCCGCCTCTGTTAGTACACATTTACTGACACAAACATTTGTATCATCTGTTGTAGACCCAAATACATTAAATAAAATAAGAACTCATTCTCAAAAAAGATAAACGCCATTCTTAAAATGTATAAACGAACAATAGTTGGATTAATATTGATTAGAGTGTACAATAGAAATAAAATAATTCAGAGAAGAAAAAGAGATATGTTATCTATCAAAACCCAGTTAGATTAACATTCATTGGATTGCACACTTTGTTTGTTTGTGTGGATATGTAGCAAATTAACATGTTAAATAGCACTTAATGACTGACTGAATGGAAATGACAATAAATGAAAATGTAAAATGAAAAAGCGATCATGAAAATGTTTCCAATAAACATAAATAAATAAATAAAATGATTTTTGACCACTTTGTTGTTCAGATATATCACATATATGTAACTGAATGATGCATTAATTGAAACAAAACACAGTATAAACTGAGGAGTGACTCTCGTGAGTTTCATGTATTTTCTTCACTCCGCTGGGAAACTGCTCTCATGTCAAGAAGCATCAGATCAGTGCATGCGCTGCATCGTCCAATCAGTGAGAGATACACAGTAAGGGGGCGGAGCAAGTATCTGAGGATTTCACCGGAGGATGGTCTGGTGGTTCCTCGGTTATCGCTCCTCCATTATCGCTCCTCGATCCTCGATCCTTGATCCTCGGTCCTCCGGCAGAAATAAGAGCCATGGGACGCTACTCAAGATGGCGCAGACAAATCAACTTCCGGTGATACTGAGGACCGACGACTGAGGAAATGAAAATAGTCGACCTGAGACGCAGCCAGGGGTGCAGTTCTAACGTAGAGCACCAGAACGTCGCTCCGGCACTTCCAAAAATTGCAGTACCCATAAGGAGCCGTACACATGCCGCAGTTTTTGCGTGGCTGTGTCTTTAGTTGTAAGCCCAGTGGCGATCTGTTCATCTGTCATACTGATCATACAGTCAATAACTTTGTTATTAGCATCTGGTTAGCTAGCTATGCTAACGAATATAAGAAGCTTTTTCTACAACCAGTGAGGTAAAGGCACATCTTTATATGATCATTATAGTTATAAAAAAATAAGAGAATGAAGTAAACAGGTATCAAATACTATATGACAGTAAAAAAAAGTTGTTATTAATAAACAAGAATACAGTTTGAAAGGGGAGTGATTTGTAAAATATCCATAAAGAAAAAGAAATCTGCTTACAGTTCTGTTTCATATGGGTGTTGAGAGATGTATCCATAGATCTCCTAATGTTGCTCTCAAAGTGCACCAGATTGATGCTGTTAACTTCAACATTTAAAAAAAAATCATCCCGGGGGAGCATGCCCCCCGGACCCCCCTAGAGGAGGTTAGGTCCCCCCCACTTAAATCATGTCCACATGGATAGGAAACTAAATACATTTGCACACATCTTGTGTCCATATCTTTCTGTTTTGGTGGTCATGCCACAACCGTGCACGTGAATGCATACGCGAGTCATGGTAAGATATCTGGATTAAGAGGTTGCTCTTTCTTTGCACAGCATGAAAGAAAGGCCAAATGAATGGGCTGTGATTTTTGTATTTTTAAGCAGAGGTCAATAATTTGTACGGCCCTCGGAGGATGTTGAAAAATTTGAAATGGCCCTTGAGAGGAAAAAGGTTCCCCACCCCTGTTCTAGACCGAAAAATGTTTGGAGCTGGAAACAAACTGGATTCCGGAGATAAGAGGCGGCGCCGCTGCGGTGTGAAGAGGAAAAACTGGTACTTTTCAGGCTCTAGCTCCGAGCCGGCGCTGAAAACGCGTTGGTGTGAAAGGGGCATCTGAGGGGCGTGGGGAGTGGCACCTTATTTTCATCTAAGGCGCCGTTTACACGAGGAGAAAACTGCTTGTATCTGCATAGTTTCGCGTGCGTATAGCCCTATTATTTACACGAGGCCGATAGAAACTGACCCCACAAACGATAACGGGTCCCAAGGTGGATAGATTTGCAAACGAAACGCTCTGGGGGGTCAACCGAGTCCGTGTAATCACCTCTATACGAATATTTCCTGAAAAAATAGCGATAGCCCCACCTCTCCCCGCCTCTCCCCACCTCTCCCGCTCACTGCTGTAGCAACTATCAAAAATAGCTGTGTTAATTAAACGCACAAGGGGTTCTTGAATGAAATAATATTATAAAAGGCAAACCAGAATTGTTAACGCCCAATATACTCCTTAAACAAAATAAACAGAGTCAGATTTCATGCATTGATCCATTATATTGACAAAGGTGCGATCTCACCCGGTGTTTGTAGAGAATATCTCTCTTTCTGAGCGCGTCCTCTCCACAGAGACGTGCTTCTTGGTCGGTCGATGCAATATCCACAGATCCGGTTTCTTTCAGTTAACTTCCCCGTTGCATTTATCCATATGCTGAGGAAATTACTATATCCCGCTGAATACCAGCAATCGCCACACACACTTCCTCCTGTCAGTAGCTACTGCTAGTGCTACTGCTACTGACCATGCTACAGATATTAGTGCAAAATCTACAGCTCCTCTACCACAACCATCAGCAACAAGTGGACATGGAGAATTACATGAACTACATGTTGCTAAATACACCGCGGGGCATAAACAGAAGGGTAGCCATGGCAACATTGCGGCGGGGCTGCTCGGGCTGCTCTTCTTCGCGGCTTTTGGTGTATTTTGGCGGAAGTTACAGCGCCACTTACAGTCCCGGCATATGTACTACAGCGTTTCCAGCGGCCTCCTTTGAACAGACACGTTAAATGAAATGAATGCATGTGAACGGAAGACTTTTTTGAATACGCATACTGTGCATAAACGCAAACGTTCCCGTGTGAGTGGGGCCTAAGGTAACAGACAGAGAATCAGCACTTTTGAAACAGGGCTGAAACAGAGGGGATTATGGGATGCTGCAATGATCTGTTTGGTGTTTGGAGCCAAACACTTCAGAGCCATGTTTTGTATATATCTTAGACCTATAATAAATGTATGAAAAATAGTATAATAGGGGACCTTTAAGTACATTTCGAAGCCCATACTTCTATAATTTTACTTGAGTAAAGAAGTTTAGTCAGTACTTCTAAAAGTATTTTTAAACATGAGTATCTGTACTTCTACTTGAGTAAAGGATATATGTACCTTTGCCATCTCTGCACAGAAGGGAAGATGCAGTCGTTGTTTTAGCA